CTGATCAGGGTTTGTGGCTCCAGGTGTGGCAGCTCTCCGAGAGGATCAGTGTCAACGTGTGCTCGCTGCTGGACTGGAAGCGCTGCGTGGCCGTGCACCTCTGGTACCTGCTGCCCCCCACGGCCTCCATCTCCAGGGCTCTGGCCATGTATGAGTCAGCCTTTCAGGTGGGTCACTGCCTCCTGCCCTAAAGCAGCCCTTCGGGGTGCTCCTGCCTGCTGCTGCTGCACAGAGGCTCCAGGAGCAGCCAGGAGTTGCTGAACGTGGGATGGAGTGTAGGATATGGGGGGAATGGATTCCCACTGCCAGAGGGCAGGGTTAGGTGGGATACTGGGGAGGAATTCCTCCCTGGGTGGGTGGGCAGGCCCTGGCACAGGGTGCCCAGAGCAGCTGGGGCTGCCCTTGCATCCCTAAAAGCATCCCAGGCCAGGGTGGACAGGGCTTGGAGCAGCCTGGGACAGTGGAAGGTGTCCCTATGGTAGGGAGTGGAACTGGATGGTCTTTAAGGTGCTTTACAACCCAAACCATTCTGTCATTCTATAGAACCATAAGTTCTGTGGAGAAAACCCATTTATGGAGTGTTTCCAAGTTTTGTCCAGCTGTTCATCCTAGGAAGAGGATCAGTGGCCAACAGCAGAGAAGCCCTTTTGAGGCAGACAGCCTGTTCTCCCACTGGGGTCATTAATCCTCACATGCCTTGTCCAGCAGCTCATGGTGCCTCACAGCCTGTGGGTGCCCCCCCAGCCCCTGTCCCACCCCCTGTGGCTCCATGCATTGTGCAGAGCCCTGTGTCTTGGTGCAGAGCTCTCAGCTCTGTGTGCAGCAGGACAAAGGGTTCTGCTGAAAAACATGTTTAATCATTTAACTAAAGCCAGCTCAGCCCTCCATCCTCAAGCACAGCAGCAAGTCTGGAAACGTGTCACTGATGTTTGCTTCAATATCCAGTGTTGGGCACTTTTGAATACCCAGCTGAAGTGCAAGTTCTCAGCTGATTGTTCTGACTGACTCAGTGTGTCCTGTGCTGTTGTGGCTGCCCAGACCCTGCTTGGCTACAGAGAGAAGGCTCCCTGGGATGCATCCACCTCATTCCACCAAGGCCCACATGGTTTTCCAGCTACAAAAGCCTTTGGGAATCCAGGCTGTGTGTGAGAGCTGGCTGTACCTCCAGGCAGTGGTTTGTCAGAGCTCAGTGTGAGACATGAACCCGCCCGAGCATTTTGGGTTCAGGTTTTTCATGTTGGTCCATAGTTCTGGGGAGGTTCCACCTGCAGGTGCAGAAAGAATCTCCTGAGCCTGCTGAGCTGGGGAATTCAGTTTTGTTCAGAGTATGGTCTTCAAACTTACTGTTGAAACTATCTCCCTAGAACACCTCAGAGTGTGAAAAATACGCCTGCTGTCCTCTGCCTCCTTACCTGGAGGATTCTGGGTATGTCATTGAGGAAGACGACAATGGAGGAAGGCCCCTGAGAGATGTCTGCTTCCATTTGTTAAAGCTCTACAGTGACAGGTAAGTGGGCAAAGAGTTCAGTAAGTATTTAGAAAAGTCATGATCAGTCAGTGACTGCCTGAGTTCACCAAGCAGGGGGATGAAATCAGCCTGAACCTCTTGAAATCAGCCCCACATGTATCCCTGACAGAAGGTGGTGTCACCTGGGGATGGTAGAATTGGGAACCTTGAGCTTTGGGGGAGATTTGTGGGGTTTTAGGTGCTTTGTGTGTCTGAAGAGTGCAGGAAGGCTTCTCTGTAGCTGCCTTTGTGGAAGGCAGTGAGAAATCTGCAGGGGAGCACACACAAAGGAAAAGGGGTGACAGTCTGGGTGCAGACTCATTAGATTTTAGCAGTAAAGACTGTTAATTTTCTTCTTAAAAAAGAAAACCAAACCCCCATAACTGCTGTAAATCACACACGTGGAGGTGGGTGAAGGGAGGGGACTGGATGTGATTCTGTGGGCACAACCAGCTCTGCCAGTTACCAGCTCTCCTCTGCAGGTCCTACGAGCTTGACCAGCTGCTGGACCCCAGGAGTGTCACCTCTGACCCGCTGGATTTCCGCCTCAGCTGGCACCTGTGGGAGGTGCTCAGGGCCCTCAACTACTGCCACCTGTCCCAGCAGAGCTGGGGAGTGCTCAACACCAGCTATGCTGCCCAGCTGGAGAGCGAGGGGCTCTGGGAGTGGGCTGTGTTCGTGATGCTGCACGAGCCTGACGCGCAGTGAGTGACCCTGGGGGCTGTGCTGGGCCTGGACACACAGTGACAGTGACCCTGGGGGGCTGTGCTGGGCTGGACACACAGTGACAGTGACCCTGGGGGGCTGTGCTGGGCTGGACACA